TCATTCATCTATCAATGACACAGGTTGTTTCATATCTTGGCAATTGTCAGTAATGCTACAAAGGACATGGGAGTGTACATGTCTCTTCAAGAATCCTGGCTTTATTTCCTTTGGATATATGGCCCAAATTGATATATATTTGCTGGATCAAATGGTAATTCAAAACCTCCATCCTGGTTTCTCTAGTGGCAGCACTACTTTGCATTCCCACCAACAATACACAAGCTTTCCCTTTCTCTGCATCCTCACCAATACTTGTTTTCTATTGTCTTTTTGATGGTAGTCATTCTAATAGGTGTGAGATGATATCTTGCTTTTGTTTTGCTTTTATCTCCCTGATGATTAGTGATGTTGAACACCTTTTCACGTATTTATTGGCCATTTGTACCTCTTTTTTGGAGAAATATCCTTTTAGGTCCTTTGCCCATTTTTTAATTAGATTATTTGTGTTTTTTTTTAAATATTGAGTTTTGGATTAGCAAACTTTTTTTGAATCAATTCCTTATCAGATAGATGATTTGCAAATAATTTCTCCCATTCTGTAGGTTTTCTTTGCATTTTGTTGATTGTTTCTTTTGCAGTACAAAAGCTTTTTAGTTCGATGTAGTCCCACCTGTTTATGTTTGCCTTTATGGCTTGGGCTTTTGGTGTCAAATCAAAGAGCTTTATCCCTTTGTTTTCTTCTAGGAGTTTTACATTTTCAGGTCTTATGTTTAAGTCTTTAATCCATTTCAGGTTACTTTTTGTGTATGGTGTAAGACAGAGGCCCAGTTTCATTCTTCTACTTGTGAACATCTAGTTTTCCCTGCACCAGTTATTGAAGACACTATACTTGCTTCACTGAGTATCCTTGGCACCCTTGTCAAGTATTAGTTGACCATACATGTGAGTGTTTATTTCTGGGGTCTTGATTCTGTTCCACTGGTCTCTGTGCTGATTTTTATCCTAGTACCATACTGTTTGGATCACTGTAGCTTGGTAGTCTAGTTTCAAATCAGTAAGTGTGATTCTTCTACCTTAGTTCTTCTTCCTCAGAATTGCTTTAGCTATCCAAAGTCTTCTACAGTTTCATAGAAATTTTATAATTAATTTTCTATTCCTGTGAAAAGTGCCATTGGAATTTTGAAAGGGATTGAACTGAATCGATAGTTGGCTCTGGGTAGTATGGATATTTTAATAATATTAATTCTTCCTATCCATGAACATGGGATATCCTTACATTTACTTGTATCTTCTTCAACGTGGCATTATACTAGGTGAAGTAAATCAGGAAGAGAAAGGTGATCACTGTATGATACCACTTGTATGTAGGATCTAAAAAAGTTAAACTCACAGAAACAGAGATGAAAAGGCTGGTTCCAAGGTTGATGGGGATAGGGGAAGTGGGAGATGCTGGTCAATGGGTACAAACTTACAGCTATAAGAGAAATAAGTTTTGGAGATCTAATGTACACCATAAGTATTACAGTTAACAATACTTTGTTTTAGATTTGAAATGCTTGGAGAGTAGATTTTAAATGTTCTCACCACAAAAAAGAAATAATAGCTATGTGATGGAGATGTTAGCTAATGTTATGGTAGTAATCATTTTGCAATATATAGGTATAGCAAATGAATATGTTGTACACTTTGAACTCATATAATGTCAATTATTTCTCAATAAAGCTGGGGAAAAAAGGCATTTGTTACTGGAAAACAAAACATAAAACAATGAACAAAAAGGGAGAGGATGATAAAACAACATGTGTATAAAATAAGGCTTAAGGATGTTAAGGACCAGTGAACTCTTTAGAAATACATACAATAGCTTGAGTGCCAGGAAAGCTAATGAAAATACATATTGTATTAATAAAATCAAGCATATACAATGAGAGAATTTTATGAGACTGGCCTCCTCAAATCTAAATAGACATATAAACAAGTTGGTGGCAAATAATCAGGGTAGTAAATTAATTTTACATAATGTTAGATGTTTGAAAGTACTTGAGATGCTGGTTCTGATGAAAGATGTGGTTTTTTTTTTCAAGTACTATATATAGTAATCCCCTCTTTTCTGTGGTTACTGTTACCTGAGGTCAACCTCAGTCTTGGAAGCAGATGATTCTCTTCTTATGCATAGTTAGGAGGTCAATAATGTCATTCACCTCACTTCATCACATGGGCATCTCACCAGAGGGTAAGTACAATACAGTAAGATATTTTGAGAGACCACATTCACATAAATTTTATTACAGTATATTGTCATAATTATTCTATTTTATTATGAGTTATTGTTGTTAGTCTCTTACTGTGCCTAACTTATAAATTGAACTTTATCATATGTATGTATATGTAGGAAAAACATCATAATATATATGGGGTCTGGCAGTCAGTGGTTTTGCAGTTTCAGGCATCCGCTAGGGGTCTTGGAATGTATCCCCTGTGACTAAGGGAGATTGTATAGAGAAGGGAGATGTATGATATTTCCCAAAATGAGATAGCCATACCACCATTAATATACTAATCAACATTAATAATAATGTTGATTGATAATATATTAGAAAAATAATACATATAATTAATAATACATTGGTAATAGAATTACTATTTATTAGAAAAAATAGAATTAACACATCAAGCCTATGATTTCACAGATATTATTGCCAAAGAAGTGTGTGGTATGACAAGTATTATAAGAGCAGTATGACTACACTAATCATGTGAATAGCAAATCAGATTTCTGGGTGACACCAAAATTAAAACCAATGAATAGAAGCTGCCTGAAGCAGGTTTCAGCTCAACATATAGTTGCCTTTCCAATCAGTTCATTCTAAAGAGCAACTGGGCTTCCCCAAGCATGAAGGAGTCCTCCAACGCTAAGGGTGTGGGAGTATAGGCTAGTGGGCATGTGGGATGGAGTAGAAGGTAAATAAACAGTGTCAGGTACACAGTAGGTGACTTTCAGGCTTCCTCCGGCCCTATTATCGTATGACCAAGTTCTGCATCAAGTCCACTCAGCACAAACACTCTTGGCCTTTGGGTGTTAAGGAAATGTGTTGTTTGTTCCACTTTATTCGGAAAATGTTGGAAGGAAGTCAAGACTGCATTATCAGAGATGCCCTGGGTTCACATTAGGCTGGTGCTGCTAACGATTGCACTAATTTCAGCTAATAGTCATGGTACCCATCTCCAGCTGCAACACATTAGATAGAACTCATCCCCTTATTCATTCTCACTTAGTGTAGTCTGGAAAAGAAGACCATGTTCCCCAATAATGAAAATGGGATCTGTGGAAAGAATGAAATTTCCCTGTAAAGGAGAAGGAAGGTATGAGTGCGTCCTCAAACCACTTGTTCCTTTACTATCAGTGCTTACAGTTTGAAGCCCGGGACAAGTTAATCTCCCTGAACTTCATTTTTTCTCATCTCTAAAATGGGAATGTGATACCAAATACTTTGTTGCTGGGGGACAATGATTATAAAGTACACAATGTCATATTTATCATGTAACAGGAACTCGTTGATCCCCTACTTTTCACTCATGGTTACCATTTATAGAGCAAATGCAATTTCAGCAATAATACTTCTAATTAATTCTTCCACCCATTAATCCATTCAGCAGGCATTTCTGAAGGTGCCTATGAAACCAGGCACCATGCCAAGTAAACACAACATTATTCTCCACTCTGGAGATTGGAGGCCAAGTTGGACAGTAGTACTGTTGATGAGTTATTAAATTATAATAATTCTCTATGTTCACCAGCCCCATGTGTCACAAAATGTATTCACAAATCATAATTTCATTTAAATCTTCTCCCACATCTTCTCCCAATCTTTCTGTGCCCCCTCTTTCTGGGACACAGAAAACTCCAGAAGGGCAGAGACCCTATCTATCCTTTTTATTACTAGGTTCCCTGTCCCTAGCACAGTCTGGCACATAATGGAAATTCCATAATACTGGTTAAATGAATGAAGGAAGGAATTGATGAATCAATGAATTCAGCTAAAAGGAGAGTTATTGGTAGCATTGTTTTACAGGTAGAAAAACAAAGTGCTGTTGGCTTTGCTATTTACCCGTCATTGAGTAAAGGAGTGATTTTACCAACTAAACTACTCATGGGATAGAGGGCATCTTACCCTTCTGTTTTCTTGGACAGCAAAATGAGAATAAAGTTTAGTCTGGAAAAGAAGACCATGTTCCCCAGTAATGAAAATGGGATTTGGGGAGAAAATGAAATTAAATAAATGTAAATAAATTAATTAATATAAATAAGTAAATTATATTAATGTAAATAAACAAATGTAATATATAATAGCAATAGTAGTAATAGCAGCCACAACAGCAGCTAATACCTATGGAGTGTTTACAACGAGCCAGGCTTTGTTCTAGGAACTTCACGTGGTCATGGTGAAAACCCTGTTGGATGTGTTCTACAAGAGGACATATCCCCAGCCTACTTTGTCTTCATCTGTTGAGGTCTTTCTCAGAATGGAGCCTGTCTGGCTCCCTCTTCACATCTGCCTCCCGGAAAAAAGAACTCTTTGTTTTTTTCAGATGTGTATTCCTAGCACTATACTGTGCACATAGCAGGTGTTTAATACACCTTTGGTCAATAAATGAAAGGGTGATCTAATTGAAGGTCAGAACAGGAGACACTAAATGGGGCCTAGAGTCATGAGAAAATTTGAAGAAGGGGACATTTGGACTAAGCCTCAGTTTCTCAGCTGACCTTTGATAGAGAGTGAGATGGCCCTTAGGAGAAGTGTACGAAGGTTATGTGTCCTGCGTAAAGACTGCGATGGGGTGTGGAGCTGGGTGGGGTGGGTGACCTCTCTCTTCTCGTGGGATCTTCCAGTCCATGGCACCATAGACCAGCTATTGGTTTCAGTCATCACCCTGTTCTTTTGTCCATGTGTGCCTTAGTCAGCTCTGTTGGTTTACTCTTGAGTTACTCTTGCAAGTCAAGCAGAGCCATCAAAGCCTATGGGACAGGCCTTCTTTCACTGTATGGGGAAACTTACAGTAAGAACCTTTGTATTTTTTCCTTTAGCGTTGTCCAAAGTATGCTCCACAAGCAGTTGTCCCAGGAGATGACATGGATTTATGGGAAAACAAAACAGAAAAAGTTCAGTGGTCAGATATGTGTGAGAAACGGAATCTCATTGCTGCATAACTTCCCAGATCTTTTACTATTCAAGCCTTTACTAAACACTGTGATTCTGTAACAGGAGCTTGGGGAACATGGTGTGCAGAGGCCTCCTAACTTACTTAACCATGGGTCCTTGGAAGGGCTGTGTGAACAGTTATCTCCTGGGACTGGGGCTTAACAGAAACGTATATTCTATGGGAAGCACCGTCTTAGACCTTTTTATCAGGGAAGCATTTTTGTCTATTTCTTAGGGAACATGGATATTCACTAATTTATGGGCCTTCTGCAGATTTAAGACTTGTGTTTCTTTCCTTTCACCTTTCTTCTCCAGTCTTCAGCGGGCGTTGTCATGAAAGCTCTCGGATTCCCGTCTCTGCCATTTTGCCCACTAGAGGGTAGTGTTGAGCTATTGAGAATTTTCCCACGCGGGACTGAGACTAAGTACGATGAAACTGCCCTTCTTTTTACATAAATCAGGGGGACTAAGTACCCAGAAACTGTTCCTTTTACTGTAAAAACCATTCTGATGGGCAGAATTTTGTTCAAAATTCCTAAATGCAGAAGTTCTTGAAAACCACAGGCCAGTTCCCCTCAGAAATTTCTCTGTACTTCTGTGCCTCAATTCAGGAGGAAGGTCTGCATCTGGCTCCTCTAGGAGTTTGTGGGTGCAAAATAGTGACTGAGTATGCAAAACCAAGAAAAAACAAAACAAAAAGGTATTTCTCTGTTTAGACCTGTAAAGGTTGTATTACAAAGGTCGGAATGAAATGAAAACATCCAATAGCGTTCAGTCACATAGATGCTTCTAAGCCTCTCTTTGGCTTCTGCACAAATTCTTTGTCTTTCTGTAGCTAAACCCAATCCCAGCCTTCCCATCTTGTACTCAGTCTGCAAGACTCAGCTCAAACTCCACTTCCCTTTCAAAATATAAAACCTTGAGGGAGTCACCATCTCTGCAATCAACCCTAGATTCTTAAAGTCTTTGCATGATCATTTAAGAGTTTTCATATATTTTCTTTTTTTCCATCAACTATATCATGAGGGTCTCAGCAATCAGGGCTATCTATTACTCTTGCCTATATTCCCCAGGAAGGCTTCAGATGCCTGACTGCAGGACACAGTCATCTGCTGAGTTCCTGCCATGGAGAGCAGGCACTGGGCTGCGAATTCGACTCCCACAAAGTCGGCTCCCTTTCACGAAGTTGTAGAGTGTCTCGGACATAACAGAATACTTAGGTTAACCTTATGTCCTAGTTTGCCTACGCTAGTCCTGGTTTCTGTCTGTTGTCTAAGCATAATTATGAATAGTGTCTCACTCTCAAAAGTGTCCCAGCTTGGTCCATGAAGACTATGGGCCTTGGAGTCATACATTTTGGGCTTGGAATCTGGCTCGGCTACTCACTAACTATGTGTCTTTGGGCAAGTTATGTAACTTCTCTGGGCTTCAGTCCCTTCATGTAGAAATCAGGGGTGACAATGCCTTCCTAAAAGGGTCACAGTGAAGATTAGAGTTAATATGGTATGGGCTTAGGTAAATGGCTGGCACACAGTAAACACTCGAAATGACAGTTATGATTGTCACAATGGAAAGCTCCGAGTAACTGCTGTATGAAGTGACTGGGGAATGCAAGTGAAGCTAAGGTCTAAGTACTGCTCTAAGGAGAAAGGAAACATGGTAGAGAGTGAGCAATGCACTATAGCAGTGGCTCTCAAAGTGCTGACCGGCCCTGGACTGGCAGCATCAGCACTGCCAGGGATCCGGTTAGAAGTGCAGATTCTCAGGCCCTACCTCAGACCTCCCAAGTGAGCAACTTTGGGGGTGGGGCCTGGCCATCTGTTTTAACCATCCTTCCGGGTGGTTTTGATGTGTGCTAAAGGTTGAGAGCCTGACAGCAATGAGGTTCCCCTTTATTAGAGCTGGAGGGCAGTCAGAAACTTTGGATTTTCTGGAAAGGAACAGGAACAGCAGAGAAGCTCCAACCAGTGACAGAACAACTATCAAGCCAGGGAGGTTGAGTGTCAACATATCCCAGAATCACTATGCTGTAGGCAACCCTAGCGATCCCTAGTCTTAGTCTGGAGGTTGCAAATATGGACTCATGGCCTGAATGGGACCCCTGCATATATTTGGCTTGGCCCCTTAATAAAATTTTACCTGGAATTTAAAAACCAGAAAAATTTACATAAAAATCCAGATTTCTGGCATTCCTGAAAAATTCAGAGTTATTTGTCATCTCAGGGTGGCATGCCCACCCAGCCACAATTGACTGTGACAGAGAAGCAGCTGTCCCCTTAATCAGAATATGCAGCCTCTAGCCTCCCCTAATTTCCACCAGGCTGGCTAGTATGTTACCTATACCGTCCCTGTTCCCATTACTGGCTTAGGTGCTGTCTCCTGCTTTTAGATGAGAAAGTGTATGGCTGGAGAGTTGCAGTGATATGTGTCAGCATATGGCCGAGGCTCTGGACATGACACTATGTGTTGAGGGTGGGGAGTGTCTGATCTTTTGAGCAGGGTCTTGAAGAAGAAAGAATTTGGGAAGCCTGAAGCTCTGGCCTTCCTTAAATTCTCAAACTGTCCTGTGGATCAGAATCATCTGGGTCAAGGGCTCAAAATTTTAGTAGCTTTCCAAAGCTATTTTAACATGGGATCCTGACCTTGGATGGAGTGGGGAGGGGTCAGAAGCACCGGATGAAATCTTACAGAGAAATGAACAGAAGGCAGAATCTTAAAGAGTTTAAGTGGGGCTCTAATAGCCTCAGAAAGCTTTTCTTTTATTGAAATTTGACATCTAACGTTACTTTACTGTTAAGTAAATCACTATAATTACTATACATCTTAAATTTAAGTTGCACAGTGTGTTGACTTCAAACATGTATATACTGTAATATGATTGTATTGTAGTGATAATTAGTACCTCTACCTGGTCACATAATTATAATTTCCTTTAGCCAAATTTGTAAAAACAGAGAGTAAACTGGTGGTTACCAGGGGTTGCAGGTGGGGGTTAGGACAGATGGGGTACAAACTTGTGATGAGCAGTAAGTGAGTGTGAGAGGTCTAGTGCATAGTGGAGTGAATACAGACAATGGTATTATAATCATCAAACTTGCTCAGAGACGAGATCTTAATTACTCCAACCACTGAAAAGTTGTTCCATAAATTGGCATTTACCATAAATTACCATTAAATGGAAGCGCCCCTGAGCCAGACTGATGGAAAGTGAAAGAAATACTGGGGTGAGATTTCATGGTGAGAGTGGGCAAGGAGTTATTAGGGGTGAAGGGTGAGACCAAAGGTGTTAGTTATGTGCTTCCTATAGGACGTAAGGGGGGTACTTTGTAAATACTCTTTGAAGGGTGCTTCCACCATCCTTGAGTATAAGGAACCAAAAAGAAGGGTGAGGTCTGACCTGGGGTCCTACTACCCTCTATCCTTGCCTGACTTTCCACCCTGCTCTTTTCCATTTACTTACAATTGTATTTCTTTTTCTTCTTCTTTCCCCTCTTTCTTTGTTTCTCTGTGTATCTCTCTCTGCTTCTTTCGTGCTCTCTCTCGGCTCCTTTCTCTCTCCTGATCCCCTCCCAATATGTAACTCACAAACCACACAAATAGTCAAAGTATCAAAAAATATTCAGGAAGAAAACATCCATCAGCATGCAGGGGGAATCCAGGGGAAGAAACCAAACCCCTGAACAAAGTTCCTGAAGTTATAAGTCCTTGTCAGATTCCAACCAGCCTGGGCCTCCCAATGGAGAGACAGAGGTATTTTTCCCCTGTTCCAAATGCTTAAGCAGCAGCCCAGAAGCCCAGAGAGCAGAGCTTTTTCCTTTGACCATTGCTGGCAAATGTGCTTTGTCATGTCATTTTAGCACCAGGCCTGGCGCATTTCTGTATAGTAAAAGCTAATGAACCGTTAAGGCTTTTGGCAATGTTGGACACTATACCTGCTCCATTTGGAGCACGGGAAGTCCTTGGAGTCTATAGCTGCATGAGCAACCTCGGGCTATCCCCTGTGCGCCATGGGTCTGTAAGTATCATAGCTGTGGTCAGTGCTCAGAATTATTAATATTCCAGAGGCCTGCTTCGACTCTACCCCCTACAGAGCAGGCTTGGGTAACACACAGCTTCACATTGGACCCCATCCAATTGGAATTTATGACTGGAGGTGGCAGAAGGCCGGCATTATAGCAATGTCTCACCTTCAGTTTCCTTCACAGCTTGCACCCCAAGGACAGCATGGTATTTATTAAATTCAAAACCCTTTTATTGTACTCCTAATATACTGGACACTGAGTTGAGATAGAGAATTGACAAAGACCCAAACCTGCCCTGAAGAAAGTGACCTGGTAAGAGGAGAGGGACTTGTAAATAAGGTCCCCGTCTGCTGGTAGATTTCAGGTACAGTCCTTAGCAGATTTTAGAGAAAGGCCACCCATTCTTTCATTTGTATCCCCTGAACCTTTGCTACCCAAAGTGTGGTCCCCAGAGAGCTACAGAACCTTGGAGCTTTTTTGGAAATGCAGAGTCTCAGGCCCCATTCCAGACTGAATCAGATTAAAGTTTGAGATGTCCTAATCTACAGAAGGGTTTTCCCAACCTGAGTAGGTTCAAATATCACCTGGTTTTACCATTTTTATTTTTAAGTGCCAGGAGAACTTTTTTCAGATACCATTCTTGGGCCTTAGACATTCTGACATACTAAGTCTGGTGTAGGGCTGGAGATTACGTTTTTTATTATTATAGTATAATTGAGATACAACATTATATTAGTTTCAGACATACAGCATAATGATTTGACATTTGTATGTGTTACATAATGATCATTACATGAAGTCTATTTATCTTCTGTCACCATACAAATTTACATGTTTTTTTCTTTTGATGAATAAATAGGACTTACTTTCTTAGTAACTTTCAAATTTGCAATATAATATTATTAACTACAGTCCCCATGCTGTACATTACATTTCCATAACTTACTTATAACAGGAAGTTTGTACTCTTGATTTCTTTCACTCATTTTGCCCACCCCCAACCCCCTCCCCTCTGCCAATAACCAAATGTTCTTTGTATCTGTGTTTTTTTTAAGATGTCAGATGTAAGTGAAATCATAGATTATTTGTCTTTTTCTGTCTGACTTATTTCACCTACCATAATACTCTTGAGGTCCATCCATGTTGTCACAAGAAAAAGATTTTATTCTTAATAGCTGAGTAACATTTCAGTGTGTGTGTGTGTGTGTGTGTGTGTGTGTGTCCCACATTTTCTTTATCTATCCATCCACTGGGACTTAGGTCATTTCCATATCTTGGCTGTTGTAAATAATGCTGCAATGAACATAGAGGTGCAAGTCTTTTTAAATTGTATTTTTGTTCTCTTTGAATAAATACCCAGAAGTGGAATTGCTGGATCCTATATTTATTTTTTTAATTTTTTGAGGACCCTCCATACTGTTTTCTGTCGTGGCTGCAACAATCACATTCCCACCAACGGTGCGCGAGAGCTCTCTTCCTCACAGCCTCTCTGACACTCGTTACTTTCTGTCTTTTTGATACTAGCTATTCTGACTGGTATCTCATTGTGGTTTTGATTGCATTTCCCTGATGATTTATGGTGTTGAGCATGTTTTCATGTGACTTTTGGTGATTTGTATGTCTTTTGTTGAAAAATGTCTGTTTAGGTCCTCTGCCCATTTTTTAACTGGATTGCTTAGTTTTTTTGTTATTGAATTGTTTGAGTTGTTTATATATTCTGAATATTAACCCCTTAATGGATAAATGATTTGAAGATCTCTTCTCCCATTCAGTAGCTCGCCTTTATATTTTGTTTACTACCCTTCACTGTGCAGAAAGAAGCCTTTTAGTTGGATGTAGTTCCATTTGTTCATTTTTGCTTTTGTTGTCAATTATTTTGGAGTTAGATCCAAAAAGGTATCACTAACAACAATGTCAAGGCGTCTACCACCTACCTGTGTGTCCAGTTTTCCCAACACAGTTTATTGAAGAGACTATCTTTTCCCCATTGTATATTCTTGGCTCCTTTGCTGTAAATTAATTGACCATATACGGTTATATTTATTTCTGGGCTCTGTGTTCTGTTCCATTTATCTGTGTCTGTTTTTATTCCAATACCATACTGTTTTGACTACTACAGCTTTGTAATATAGTTTGAAATCAGAGATCGTGATGTCTCTAGCTCTGTTCTTCCTCAGGATTGCTTTGACTATTTAAGATCTTTTGTGACTCCATGCAAACTTTAAGACTGTTTGCTCCATTTCTGTGTAAAATGCCCATTGGAATTTTGATAGGGATTGCACTGAATCCATAGATTGCTTTGGGCATTATGGACACTTTAACAATATTAATTATTCAAATCCCTGAACACAAAATATCTTTCCACTTATTTGTGATGTTTTCAATAACTTTCATCAGTGTCTTAATAGTTTTCAGTGTATAGGTCTTTTACCTCCTTGCTTAAACTTATTCCTAAGTATTTTATTATTTTTGATGCAATTTCTCTGAGAGTTCATTTTTAGTGTATAAAACCACAACAAATTTTTGCATATTGATTTTGCACCCAGCAACTATTGAATTTCTTTATCAGTCCTAACAGTTTTTTGGTGGAGTCTTCAGGGTTTTCTATTTTAAAAAATCATGTCATCCATGGCAGCGACAGCTTTGCTTTTTCCTTTCCAATTTGGATGACTTTTTTGTCTTTTTTCCTACCTAATTGCTCTGGATAGGACTTCCAATACTACGTTGAGTAAAGGTTGCAAGAGTGGGCATCCTTGTCTTGTTCTTGATCTTAAGAGAAAAGCTTTCACCTTTTCACCACTGAGAATGACGTTCACTGTGGGCTAGCCATACAATGGCCTTATGCTGAGGTATGGTCCCTCTATGCCCATTTTATTGAGAGTTTTTATCATGACAGGATGTTGGATTTTGTCAAGTGCATTTTCTGTATCTACTGAGATGATTATATGATTATTATTTTTCAATTTACTAATGTGATTTATTACATTTATTGATTTGCATATGTTGGGCCATCTTTACCTTCCAGGGATAAATCTCACAGAGCCATGTTTGAGTCAGAACAAAACTGGAACCAGCATCCTATATTATGAAGCAATAGCAATCAAAACAGCTTGGTACTGGCATAAAAACAGACACATAGACCAATGTTACAGAACAGAGAGCCTAGAAACAAACTTAGTCATATATGGTCAACTAGTATTTGACAAAGAAGCTAAGAGTATTCCCTGGAAAAGGATAGTTTCTTCAATAAATGGTACTGGGAAAACTGAGTATTTATATTCCAAACAATGAAATTGGACTCCTATCTTACAGCACACAAAAAAATTAAGTCAAAATGAATTAAGAATTTAAACATAAGACCTGAAATCATAAAACTCCCAGAAGAAAACATAGAGAAAAAGCTCCTTGACATTGGTCTTGCAATTTTTTTTTGGTTTGACACCAAAAGCACAAACAAAAAAAGTAAAAATAAACAAGGGAGACTACATCAAACTAAAAAGCTGCTCTTCAGCAAATGAAATCATCAACAAAATGAAAAGGCAACTTATGTAATGAGGGGAAATATTTGCAAATTGAGTATATGGTAAGAGATTAATATCCAAAATATATAAAGAACGCATACAACTCAGTAGGAAAAAAACCCAAATAACCAGATTAAAAAGTGGGCAAAGAATATGAGTAGATATTTTTCCAAAGACATTCAAGTGGCCAGTAAGTACCTGAAAAGGTGCTCAACATCACTAATCATTAGGAAATGCAAATCAAAATGACAATGTGATATCACCTCACCCCTGTTAGAATAGACAACTATTGGCAAGGACGTGGAGAAATGCAAACCCTCATGCACCATTGGTGAGAATGCAATTGGTGCAGTCATGGTGGATAACAGTAGGGAAGGTCTTCCAAAAATTTAAATAGAGCTACCATATGATCCAGTAATGCCAATTCTAGGTAAGTACAGGTATCCCCAGCTTTTTGAAAGTTGGTGTTATGGCACTTCACTTTTACAGAAGACCTACATAATGCCTGTGGTTGCTAACTGAAAGAAATCTAAAGAGGATTTTCACTTTTATAAGAAAAGGTAAAACGTGAAAGTAGTGATCAGCATTTTGTTTTGCAGTGAGCCTTTACAGAGACAGTGCCCCACACCCCGAACAGTGGGAGTGGCGCCACCAAGCTCCTTCCCTGGGACCTGCACTCAGCATCTCAGCACCAGGCTGCCATGGCTTTGAACTGGGGTCTGTGAGCATCTGTTCTTTATCTTGATTTATTCTGTGAATCCCTAATGGATGTATCCCAACGTGTCAGAAAAACTGAAGACAGGTTATTTTTTGGGGCCTGGGAATGTTAAATATTTTTTCCATGTAAATTCATAGCAATTGTTTGCTTTATGTCATTTTGGCATACAAAAGTTTTCATAAGAACATTCCACTTTCTGATAGCAGGGGAAACCTGTATCCAAAGAAAATGAAATCACTATTTCATAACAACATCTGCACCCTTGTGTTCATAAAGGCATTATTCACAAAAACCAAGATAAGGAAGCAACCTAAATATCCATTGGCAGATGGATGACAAAAGAAAATGTGGCACATATATACAATGAACCATTATTCAACCACAAAAATGAAGGAAATCCTGCCAACATGGATGAACCTTGATGTCATTATGCTAAGTGAAGTGAGACAGAGGAAGATAAATACTATATGATCTCACTTATATGTGGAATATAAAAAGCTGAAACTCATAGAAACAGAGTAAATTGGTGGTTGACAGGGGCCGGGGGTTGAAGAAAATGAGGAGAAGTTTATCAAAGGTTGGAAATTTCCAGTTACAGGAGGACTGATTTCTATGGATCTAATGTACAGCACGGTGACTATAGTTAACAATACTGTATTATATACTTGAAAGTCACAAAGAGAGTAGATCTTAAATGATCTCACCGTAACAAGAAATAAAAATGGTAATTCTGTGAGATGAAAGATGTGTTAACTGACTTCCTTGTGGTAAATATTTTATAATAGGTGTATCAAATCATCATACTGTATACCTTATGCTGACACAATGTTATATGTCATTAACATCTTATTGGGGGAAAAAATATTGGGGGAAAAAAACCCACACACAGAGCCCAGGGTGCCACCATAATACCAATTAGTTCAGAATCTCTGGGAGTGGGCTCTAGGCATCAGTACCTATTTAAAGATTCCTGGGTGATCCCAATGTGTATCAGATGCTAACCTCTCTCTCAGAAAGGGGCAGGGCACTGTGGGAGAACAATGAATAGGTGTCTGTTGGTCTTGAACTTTCTGCATGAGAGACTTTCTACCCGGAACTTCTTCACCTGGGTAACTACTAACAAAGATTCTCTCCTTGACCAAACTTTAAAATGGCTCTTCTGAGGCCTCTGTTCCACCAGGCCTGACTTGAGCTTCTGTCTCTATCTTTATAGAATCTGCTTTCAGCAAGAATCCTGCCAAATCAGTTTTGCCAGAACCCTTCACCCTCAATACCTGATCACCTCCCTCAGCCCCCACAACCCCAAGGTGATATCTGATCACCTTGGCCTGCCTTTGGCAAGAATCCCATTTGCTTCATTTAGTAAGAATTATCCTGCCCTCCTAGTGATTTTCCATCTACTGACCCCCAGCCTGCTCCTTGGCTATAAACCCCCTTCTTTTGGGAACTCAGATTGAGCCTAATTTCTCCCCCCTACTGCAAAACCATTTCTTTCGAGAAAAGTCTTCCTCACCATCTTTAACATGTGCCAGAACCATTTTTTTCTTTAACACTGCTACTCACCCTTAATGTCTCCTCTTAAACCTTTAGCTTCCTTTCCTCTAGGAAGTCTGAATTAGGTGCCCCTCCTCTGTGCTAGCAGCACCCTCCTGTGCTCCTTCTAACAATGCTAATGTAATTTCCTGTGTGGTTTTCTTTGGGTCCCATTTGACTCAAAATGTTATGATGCAACACGGCATCCACCTTGTTCAACACGAACAGCAGCAACAGCCATTACCACCCATTACATCGCATACAATGTGTCACTCTCTGTGCGTATTATCTACACCACTCTTACCATCTCCATTTTACAGGTCATAATCTGAGGATAGGAAAGTTAATTAACTTGCCTCAGGTCACACTGCTAGGAAGTCCACAGTGCCATAGCAAGGTGTTCAATAAAGATTTGCTGAGTGAAAGAATAAATACACAAGTTCTCTCCTTCTCCAGTCTGCCCACACCCTCTCTGGAGGGACTGAAGCCACACTCCTTCCCCTGCTCCCTCCCCCTACCCCATACTTACTAAGACTCAGCCTTGACTTCTTCCAAGTGCTTCGCTTCAAAATAGATGGGCTGAGAGTCCCGATCTTCATATGGCTGATCAGCAGCGACTTCTGATGAAAGAGCTGGTGTCCCAGCTTGTTCAACAGAGCATATTTAAGTGAAAAATAAAAAGAGAGGAGACCCCATGTGTATAATATTCACGAGGGGTGTACTTTCAGCTTATAGTCCTAAACTGTTTCCCATCCTGGAGGCTGAGGGCCCAGTGTGGGAGGAGCCGAGCCTGGGGTTGTAAAAGATCCTTAAATCCTTAGACACGTCACGCTTTTTCTGAAAATGGAAATAAGCATTAGTCTCCACTTCCAGATTGTTATTGGATTGTAAGCTGTCATACCAATAAAATTATTGAATCCATGCATGCTTGGATGCCCACTCTCACAACTCCTATTCAGCATAGTACTGGAAGTCCCAGCCAGAGCAATAAAGAAGAAAAAGAAATAAAAGGCATCCCAATTGGAAACCAAGAAGTCAAATTGTCTCAATTTGAAAATGACATGATATGTATATACACATATATTTATATGAACTCAGTAAAGGTTTAGGACTCAAAATCAACAAAAAAATCAGTTGTGTTTCTATACAATAACAACGAGCTCGCTGAGAAAAAAAAAGAAAACAATCCCATTTATAATAGCATCTAAAACAATCAAATACTTAGGAATAAATTTAACCAAGGAAGTGAAAGATTTATACACTGAAAACTATGATAGTCATGAAAGTAATTGGAGAAGACACACATAAATGAAAGATAGCCTTTGTTCATGGATGAGAAGAGTTAAAATTATCACAATGTTCATATTACTCAAAGCCATCTATAGATTCAATGCAATCCCTATCAAACTTCCAATGACATTTTTCACAGTAGAAAAAAAAAAGTCCTAAAATTTGTGTAGAACTGCAAAATCCCTTAATAGCTCTGGGGTTTTGGAAAAGCTTCCCAGGTGATTCCCATTGTGCAGACAGGACTGTGAGCCACCAGGTCTGTTCACACCTAGGATGGGACCTTTGCCTTTAGGATATCAAGCTTTTACCAACTTGACATTCATTACCTCCTGAGGTACTGAATTATTATCTCTTTTGGAGAGCCAATGATAATCATACTGTCGTGGCAGAGTCTATGCTCCTTAGATTTACAGTGCATAGGATTTACCTGGTCATCTTGTTAAAATACAGATTTCTGATTCAGTAGGTCTGGGGTTGGGCCTGAGATTCTGAATTTCTAAAAAGTTCTCAGGTGATATTGATGCTATGGACCTCAGACTGGAATTTGAGTAGCAAGGATCTACTATCTAAAGCTTTTCTAGTTTTCCTAAATTTGAAATAATATATTTTTAACTATATAGAAAACATAACAGAGACAGAAAATTCCTAATGAGTGCTGGAAATACAAAGACAATGGAGTTTGGTACGACTAACAGGGTTAGATTCAAAGACATGCTTTATTTTAGAGAGGCCACTTACTAGTAAGTTGGCTGTAAGATGAATAGCTCTTTAACAAACGTGGTTTGGGTTCTTGGTTTTCACTGAAAAGTGAAAACATACGCTTCAGGGAATAGCTCCCCACAGAATGTTTTGCACACTGCTGAAGAAGAAGGGGTCATAGTTCCAGCCACAGGGAGACCCATATAGCATAATTAATACAAAATTTGTCTCTAGAGTCAGACTCCCTGGATTTAGAACTCCTTCTACCATTTTCTAGCTATGTATCCTGGTACAAGGTAATAAACCTCTCTGTGCTTTAGTTTCCTCACTTAGGAAATGAAGAAAATAACCTATGGAGTTGTGAAGATTGATGACATAAACGTCTGCTGGAAGCTGAGAAGAGTGTGTCTCTGTCACGTACTGTATGATCACTAGAAGTCAGCCGTGACTCACTGGCTCAGCCTGGGTGTATTTTCACTTTGGTAAGTAACAAGGCTGTGCATTTTGTGAGTTCAATGCTGGTTCATTCTGTCTTTGAGACAGCACTCTGCCCGAGCACCCCTGTATTGTGGCTGCTTCACTCTCCCCTTCTTCAACTCTTTGCCACATAGCTTTTCATTCAGCTACTACTTTGTGCCAATCACTGTGGTAAGCCCCAGGTTACCAAAGACACAGCTGGAATCAAGAAACTCAGATGGGGAAGGTGAAATGACAGCAAGAATAATCATGATGATTACCTGGGATGAGAGCTATCAAACAGGAATGGACAGAAGGTTGAAAGACCACAGAGCAGCTACTCTTTCGACTGTATTTAAGGATTGCCTTTGACTTTCCAATTCAGAACTGCAACAACACTTTATTATAAATGTTTGCCATTTGACCTGTAAACTCCCTTTATTTGTAGTTTTGGGTTAAGTAAAACTAAACAGTGTCAAATTTTATTAATACTATACCATTGAAGTCCTGTATTTTTAGTCTACTGAAAATGATGGATATAAGCGAAGACCCACAGTCAGAGCATAATTATATTTTCTCACTATCAGATAAGTCAGGGATCAGCAAGCCTTTCCTGTAAAGAGTCAGATAGTAAATATTTTAGGCTTCGTGGGTCGTACATCTATCCAGCTCTACTCACAGACAATCCATAAATGATTGGGTGTGGCTGTGTTCCAATAAAACTTTACTTACAAAAGCAGGCAGCTGGCTTACAGATTGTTGACCCTCCCATTTAAGTCTCATATTCCTTGACACTTTCTTCACTTAAGCACTTAAGACAAAATGGTCCTGCACTTCCAAAGCTAAAATGATCCCACTGCTTCATTTACATTTGTTATCTTCACTTATTCATCAAATGTTTATTTACATGAATCTATAAGTTGACTTATCTATAAAGTGGTGTTTTCATCATTATTTTTAGTGCTCTAATTTTCTTTAGTATCTACAGCTATTTCCTACAGTGGCCAGAAAAACTGCAGAAGGAAAACCTGAAACTGTGTAACGGAATTCATTTTTAACTTAAATAAGGAAACCACAGAAAGATCACTTACCCTGACAGGGCTCAGAAAACAGTGGCTAAGAATATGAACTTCTGCTAGACAACCCAAGGTCAAGTCCTGGCTCCACTGTTTACTAGCTCGTGCCCTTGGGTGAGTTTTTAACCATTCAGTGCCTCAATTCTTCGACTACAAAATGGGGACAGAAATAGTTCTTACTTCATAAGGTTATGGTGGAGATTAATCAGATACTGTGTAATATGAAAAGAACTGTGAAAGTAAGAAGCACTCAACAAACGTAGCTATTGCTTTTGTTCTTTTCACTTCTGCCCAGGGAGGGCAACCGTTCCTCGTGCTTGTTTTTCTGCCAAGAAATATGCTCTGAAGATCAAGAGGACCTTTGCAGCGTGCAGCATAGTTGTGTTGGACTCAGTCTAGAAAGCCAAAATGATCCTCAAACAAATGAAAGCAAATTTGTGATTAACTCTGCTTTGACCTTGAAAACATCTCTTAAGCTTCAGCTACACATCAGGGCTAACTTTCTTCTACTCTTAGATTTTTCCAAGGCACTTAAGTGAAACATTAGAAGGGTCATTTGCATGTTAGTAAAATCCCACTTACACTCTTCCTCTTTAAAGAATAAGTCCTTGATGGCTGTCCTTAGAGGCTTGTCCTTGATTCTACCTCATTTCTACTTTCATTGTTATCTTTACTGAGATGGGTTTTGTGTTAGAGTCAAGTCGTGTCACACATGAATTTGGTGTCTCTTAACTAAAGGCCCAGAAATCCTCACTTTTGTACACCCTCAAATTTTCCAGCAATCATCACTCTTTGTAGACTCGAGCCAGGTTAGAACACTGTATAAAGAGATAGTCTTGTCCAAGAGACTGTGAAAGGTTGTTCCAAGAGTGCTGGATAGACAGCCCCTCAGTGAAGTCCTATATGTGAAAGTGCTTTGAAAACTGTGAAGCAGGAGTCAACAGTCATGTTAAAGTACCTACTTCGGGTCTGGCATATTCAAGGATGGCACTAGTCCACATGAATGGAAGTGTTCTATGTCTTATGTCTGTGCTGCCCAATACAGTAGCCACATGCCCCATGTGGCTACTGAGCCCTTGAAATGTAGCTCATGTGAATGAGGAACTACAGCTTTAATTGTATTTTACTTAATTCATTTCATTTTAATTGGCCACCGTGCAATTACAGGGCATGTTGTATGTGTTAACAAAACAACATTGTAAAGCAAATGGCATACGCTTGTCCTCCTTTATAAAAGAGGGAGAAATCTTAGAGAAGTTATGGAAATTTCCAAGAGTCTCAGACTAGCAAGTAGCTAGTAGTCAAGCAGGATCTATTACCCACCCACTTCTGATGCCATGGCCAGGGTTTTTTCCTCCATACCAAACTGTATAGCACTCTGTTGTCTTATGATAATATAATATAAAACCATTATTATATTATGTTATGTTATGTTATGTTATGTTATGCTATATTATATATTGCTATTATTCTTTTGAAATCTATCATTATGTCAACTAAATACAGAGAGAATCACTCTCACCTGTTCTGTCCAGTAGAACAAGGTTAGCTAACATGACTTACTCCTATGGGGAGAATTCACAGTTGCCTATGGATAATCCTGCATCCTCTCCCCTTGCAAGACACTTCAGAGTTGGTCTGACCCTTGTTTTTCCATCCTCACCACTGAAACAATGGATGAGGACCTCAAAAGAACAGTTAGTTATCACAGCAAGCTGGTAGTTTGGGGGCATCAGCTCATTTCTTCCAGCAAATTTACACTGAGTTGATTTCCCAACTCATGTTTATAGATGTGCTCTCCTGAGTTCCACACACACAGAGCCATTTCCCCTTTCAACAGCTTGTCTGGTTACATCTTGTAGTAATTTATCTGCGTGATCCCTGCCAACTGGTTCATAGGGAAAACATGTTTGATGCATAACAATAGATCATTTGGGGATAAATCACACTCTTAATGAAGTCCTGTTTCTCTTCAGCAAGGCATTTTGCTCAGAAGAGTCTCTCTTGGGCTCCAGTAACTTGAGGAAAGGGACTGTAAGTGCCCTAATCTGCAAGATCAGTGAGGTGCCTAGAAAACTGATTTTCTCCAAGACTAACGACATAGCATCCCTGGGGTCTTGTCTCATGGAGTCCAACTGAAACCACCGAAGTTGGATTGGAAACTAGAGCCTGGAGACAGTTCAGATTAGACCTATGTTTGGAAGAAATGAGAGATCTATTTTGCCCAAAGCCTCACACTTTCCTTGGAGGAATGCCACGGCCGCCCACACACCCTTGTCTTTCCCAGTTCCTGTAAGGAAAAAGAAAATTACAAGGAGATAGAAGGTAGAAAGAAAAGGAGGAAAGAGAGAAAAATGGACTGAACAGAGAATCTAAAAGAAAAAGGAGGAATAAAAAATGAAGTAGTAGTGGGGAGTCAGTGAGTGAGAAGAATGGAGAAAGAAGAAATACATCAAAAGTTTCTACTGAAAACCATATGTATCATAAACATTGCTACTAATTAGTTCTGGTTGGAATCCCTGCCATGTGCCAGACACTCTTCTAGGTGTTTCTAAACACTGCTAAGAGCCAAGGGAGGCTTGGAAAGCTTGAGAAAGCAGTAGTCAATTCCGGCAAACCCCTCATGTTGACAATCTACACCACACATACCACACGTGCTGCTAAGGAAGTAAACCATCTGTCTGTCTGTCAGCCATTTGACCCTGGGTGTCCGGAAGAGGAGGGGCTGGAGGCTGAACAGTGGAATGAAAAGGCACAGTGACAGAGTCAGAATAACTGATATAAAAGTTTTAATCATATCGGTCTGTCCTTATTTGAGGACATGCATCACCCACATGCATGCTTAAAAGCCAAGTAAAACACATCTTGTGCTTTGAGTCTGAACTTGTGAACTCCCTGTGGGAGTCTTGCAGGGGCTGGTATAGGCTTTTCATGGAGTTGGGGGTGCATTGAAAGCTAAATTCTATGCTTGTTTTCTAAGGGGAAAAATGAGCTGCGCTGGTGCTTTTCTTTAGCGAGTGAGGAACTCTTTCAGCAAGTCAACCCGTTTCCCCGATCTTCTCTGGCTCCTACTGCCTCCAGGATCAAGTCCAAGCTCCCTGTCCTGAAATGCAAGGCCTTCCACTGGCTGGCTCCAGACAGGCTTATCAACAGTGTTTTTCCAGCACTTTCCACTGTGAACTATCAGCTCCAGTAAGGCGGGTCACCCCACTCCCCTCTCCCGGCACACACACACACACACTGCCCCTGAAAGGGCAGACAGGCTCCTGCACTTTCCTGTGCCTTTGTGCACATGGTTCCTTTCCCTGGGAATGCCCTCACTGCCTCTCACCCTCTTCCAAATCCCATGTAAATGTCAAAGCCCCACTGCAGGCCAGTCTCCTTGGGAGGGATTCCCAGACCACACAAGTCCAAAGTGACGTCCTCCTCCTCTGCCCCTTCGTGACATTCAGTCTTGGTGTCACTGTGATGGCCCCGAGTCTCTTTAAAGGGATTATTCTCTCTGCCTGCTGTGCTTCCAGTTCTCTTGTACTCCTTGTCCATCTCCTTCCTTCATGTCCATAAACACTGTGCTGTTGTCAGTGCCCCCTGTAAATTGCTCTCCATCTATCACCTCTCTTTCTCATTTGCTAGGAAACCAGATTACCAAGATGTCTCAACCCCAATTAGAGAGAATTGCTTCCTCCCCTCTCTTCCCAAAGGACTATGAGGATCAGCAGGTGTTTACTGTAGTGTTTATTTCATTCTGTTGTTACATTATAGCAATTCAAGTACATTTTCTGTCTTCTCCATTAGATTGTAAGCTCCCTGAACATGAAGATCGGGTCATCTTTGTTACCCTTTCAGTAGATCGTATACAGACGATACTTACTAAATGCTTATGAAGTGTGTTTTCATCATCATCATTATTGCATTTCTTACTTATGCTTTAAATATGGGCTAATATGCTGAACAAAGGCTTAGAGAGCAATCTTTTGAGTACAGCCATTTCTGAAGAAAAGGAAATACCTGGAAGATTTAGGGTAGGGGTCTTCTCTCTCCCTTTCATAGGCTTCATTCTCAAATGGGCTTCGTCCCCATGGTGGGCCAGTTCCCTTAAAGAAATTCAGAGTATTATTTCCCTAAGAAGAAGGGTGGTTATAGGACAAATGGGGCAAGTGTCCCCTAGTTTGTGGACATCCAAGGATTAGAAACCCAGCACATCAGGTCTTACCAGGACTAGAATTGAGGATGATATTCAGGGGACAAAGTGAAGTTCTCAAGCTTTCAGGGACACCTGGTGTCTAATCACTGCCTCTTTCAGTACACAAGACATTCTCCTCTCTCAGTGGGTTTTCTCTACCGCACAACTCAGCTTGCACAGGGCTTTGTCTTGCTGTGATGCTAAGTGCATTTCACAATCTCTCCAGTTTTCTCCTACACTAGCTGGCAGCCGTTGCTTAGTTTTCTAATTCCAGCATTCTCAGTGAAGAATGTGATTACCCTTGCTCACTTTCCTCGCCAAGCCAGAAGTCCCTGGCATGCTTCAGGATGGGCCACCTCTGAATCGGCTGCCATCCCTGGTGGAGTCAGCCATGCTGACAAGTAAAGGGCTGGAGGGTGAGGTAACATCACCAAAATTATGGCTGCCTCGGCCCATCCCATCAACGGGGCCCAGGGAAGGTACAACCTCCCCTTCCACTGGACTTGTCTATGAAGACATTCCTAACAGTGCAGAAACACAAATTCCGACTTCAGAGAGGCGATGCAAATGAGTACAGCAGGCTGATGTCAAGTGATGGGGAATGGTGGTTCAGGCAAATGTTAACGTGTGGAAATGTTGCCAGATCTTTCCGTTTTTAAAGAGAAGCCATAGTAGGGATTTTAGTGTGAAGTTCCTGAGTTTTAAAACATTTTGCAAGCCAAACCAAACTTCTCTGAGGGCCCTAGGGGGCCTCTGGACTGTCAGTCTATCGGCCCTACTTTAAAACTGAGGTGCAGGCTCAGGTCTCCTGAAAGTAAGGTAAATGAAGGAGGAGCAACTGGCCCGTTACTGTAATCAATTTCTTTTCATTATAGTTAGTTGCATATTGATCCCTCAGTTCTTGGCCTTGTTGACACAGCATTTCAAACAGAATCCAGTAGGCCTCGACCTGAACATCTGAGGAAATGCAGAGCCAATGCTCCTGCCCTTGCTCAAGGGCCCACCTCTGCCCTCCCTCCCCCAGTCCTCTTCACACTGTCTTAACATTCCTCCAACTCCCTCATTATTTAAAGATAAACTCCATCTGCTCCCGCCCACTCAAGCCTTTCTCGATTACGCACCCCTTGTTTACAGTCTGCCCGTTGCAATTTCTATAGCACTTCCTTGGTATTAGAGGTCACCTAAAGTACTTGCTAAAATTAAAAATTTCTGGACCTCCCCCCTCCTGGGAGGGGTTCTGGGGATGCTGTGTGGTTTCCAAGTGCCTCAGTTGTTCTGATCATCCTGGGAATTTGGGGAACAGCCAATACCATAAAATTTAAGAGAAATAGATAAAAGCAGTCCCATGTTATGACTACTCCAGTTAGGGATAATACCAAAATATGACTGGTCCCTTATTCAGCTCCGCTAACTATTCTCCCGTGCTAATCTCTCCTCCTGTGCGCCCTCAGTCCCAAGAATTTCACAAGATGGAGGTCTTAGACATTTCACCTGTCAACCACCCAACTGGACAGCTAGTTAGCCTCGTTGCACAAAGTGCAGTCCCTGGACCAGCAGCATCAGCAATGCCTGGGGACTTGTTAGAAAAGAAGAACCTCCAGGCTCCCCCTGGACTTACAGAACTCATGTCTGAAGTCTATCAAGACCTCCAGGTGATTTGTATCTACACTGAATTTCAAATATTACATGTCCCAGAGAAACTATACCAAATGGCCTGGCGGAAGCCCAGGACCTAAGCAATGGAGAAAGGACAGGAGTCTTCAGTTGGAGTCCTAGCTCTGTGGCTAACAGGAAGGTACTTAGTTTCCATATCACCTAAGGTCATCTGTAAAATGGGCTAATAATCCCACCACATGGAGATGTTATGAGAAGTCATGAAGTAAGTCAAATAAAATACCTGCTCCATGGTAAGTGCCTGCCCACCGATAGCAATTTGCTTCCTACAGGCTCTGGACAATAACAAATGCTTGAAATGCTGTTACTACTGCTGGTCTTGGAGGAGGTGGTCTAAAAACATTAGGATTATTATTAACTTCACAGATCCCATTCTAGGAGAAGGAGACAGGCAAACACATAAAATGTTTAAAGAAGATGAGAGATTATTATTGCAAAGGGATCCTTCTCCAAGTTAGAGGCCCTAAAAGAATTAGAATTTTAAGAATGTAAGCATTGAATATATTTCAAAACAAATCCCCTAACATATCTAAGCACTAAGCTTTTGCCAAACATAGATTTAACATTATCTCATTCCTTATCTGTACTCGACTATGAGATAGATATTATTAAAATGACCACCCCCCTTTTACAAATGAAACAATTGAGCCTCACTAGTCTAAGTTAACTTGCCCAAAGTCACCCAAATGTTAAGCAATGGAGCCAAAATTTGCTCCATTAAATCCAGAACACATACTCGTCATGTTGATGATGCTGAACAATTTTCTTCAAGTGACCTAAGTTTCTTCAAAGGCAAGAGAAACCACTCTGGCTGGAGTGAGTTGAGGGGCTTCACAGAGGAGACTAGGATTTATCTGGAGCTGTACAGATTTGGTAGAATTGGACAGAGAGGTGTTGGAGAAAAACACATACTTAAAACACTGGCAACACCTTAGATACATAATTATATCTTAGTTCACAAGCACTCATTCAGGGTTAAAATGATGGAATATAAACAGTCCCTGCCTTGACAATCTTAATGTCTATAGCTTCTCATTTAATCCTGCAGCTACCATATGAGGTTGGTATTACCTCCATTTTGCAGATAAAGAGACCTTCAGTGATTCACGTAAGATAATGGGCATGGTAGGTGGTGATGCTGGAACTTGAACTCAGTCTCAGTTGTTCCATTAGAAAGATATAGAAGCTGGAGTGACCAACCGTCATGGTTTGATTAAACCAAAAGGTTTACTGTGCTATGGTGGAGCATGCCATTCTCACCAGTCAGAGACCCAGTACCCCACACTGTGCCCATGACCTGCTGCCTACATATTCCCCAGTCACATGACGTCTACAGCAACAGGCCTTCCTCTTCTGAGCACTGACTGCATTCCAAACTTTTCTTGCTACTCTGTTCTTCCTTCTGAACTTGCTGCAGTAGGCATGTAGTAAGGGTAGACCAGCACTTCTCGACCTGTAGTGTACGGACAGACCATCTGGGGGGCTTGTTGAAAGGCAGATTCTGACTGATTGGCTGAGGTGAAGACCCAGACTGCATTGCCAATAAACTCCTTGATGAGAATTCCACTGGCTCACAAACCACACTCTGCGGAGGAAAGAACACCCAGTTTGAAAAAGGGTCCCTCAGTCTTATGTAGTGTGTAAGTTGGTTGAATCCAAGTAAAGAGCTGATTTCACTCACCTCTGAGATCTTCCCCTGGTGCCCTATGAGCACAAGCTCAGTATCACAAATCTGGATGCGAATCTACCACTCACTCATTGGCTTACTGAGGCAGGATATTAATTTCTCTGAGCTCCACGTCCCTCACCTGTCAAGACAGGTTGTTATTTTTCTCATGGTCTTACGTGAAGAGTAAAGATACTGTCTAATAAGTGTGAACCACATTCCCAAATAAACATAGATTATTCTTCACAAAAAAATTGGTGGTTAGTGTTACTATTATAAGTTTCCTGGGTCAGAAGGATGAAATAAATTTCTAAAGTCCTTAGTGCCATGAGCTGGGAAGGTCAAAAGTGTTACCTATTTCTCAGGGATTATTGCCTCAAACCTCCAATGACTCAAAGAAACACATCTCCAAATGGGAGCATTTCTGGTTCCTTTATCTATATTCTGCAAATATTTTCTAAGGCATGTGAGGTGCAAAGAGAACGTTGAGGAGAACAAGGAAGATCTTGCTTTCACAGAGCTCACTTTTCTTAGCACGGCTTTAAATTTTTCAGGGGTGGGAGGGACTCTGGGAGAGGGAAAACGCCTTCTGTCATATTACAAAGGCTTTCTGAGACCTGCAAGTAAATGCTGGGTCTAAGGTTGAGGAATCCCTTGCATAAAAAGGCATCGTCCTTGGGCTGCTTCATGGCCTGACTACTGAACGCTCCCACAGAGAGTCAATAGGCCAAACCTTTACTTTCACCGTAGATCACAATAAGTGTGAGGAGAGTATAGCATCTTACCATTGCTGAAAAGGGCCTGTGTCTAGAGAATCTATTCCTTGGGAGCGAATTCTTTTCTCAGCCCTCACTGGACAACCCAGGTGTACGGGCATAACAGCTCTTGCTGGCTGCGCTTCTGTGTGGGAAAGAGCGGGCTAACTAGTTTACATGCTACATGTTGCAGGTAAGCAGCGGGTACAGGCAGGGCATGGTGATAAGAACCCAGCAGAGAAGTCAAGCTCCCTTGGTTCCTCTGCCTCCCCCAGGAGCTCTGGGCTTAAAAATATGAGTCCCACTTCTTCATGGACGAGGACTGAATGGTCAGATTCACACACCATGGGCAGCAGCATGAGCAGACATCAAAAAGGACTCATCCCAGCAAACACGGACGACCCGTTTCAAGTTCCATGACCAGCTGAAGCTTGGTGCTCCCTGACAGCTGCATTCCAGCTGGTTGTGATTCACCAGACACTCGTGTGTGTGTGTGTGTGTGTGCCTGTGTGCATGTGTGAGCACGTGTTTATGTATTCGCATGTTAAAGAAAATGCACTAGGCAAGCAAGAGAGCTCGATTTCCTCTTCCTTTAGCTGCAGACCTAGTTCCAGAAGAGAAAGATCCACTGAATGTCAGAGAAGACTGTAACTACAGGCAGTCCAAGGAAATGAGGTAGGTAGCTGGCTTTTGCACAAGGGAATTTAGAAGATTATCAGAACACCTAATTAGAAGAGATTCTGTTAAGTTTTTCTTGCCAACTTTCCTATAGATAGTGGTTAAGCTGTGGGGCCCTCCTCCGGGCCACGAGGGAAGCAGGCGGACATACACTTCTCTCGGCAGGACACGTCCTTGAAATTCGTGGAATCAAAGTAAACAACTGATTTCGCTCATCCTGGAGGCCTCCCTCAGTGCCTAATAAGCACAGGCTTCCTCTCAGCTTTTGCCTCTTGTCCACGGCTCCCTTATGAAATGTGATGCTGGCTGTAGAGTTGGAAGGACAAGGGACTGAGTATGTGTAATTTATTATCCAGGATTGTTTGCAACCTTTTTCCAATTATACACATTTTTCTTTTGGCTTTGGCAGACCTGGGTTTATGAGGCTGTTCTTCTGGTCACTAACGGGCTGAAAAAATGGGCCCCAACTATTCCTTAAGGGATGTGTTTCTGGCCTTTAGAAATTTGCCACAGCATTAGCTCTGTTGAATGGAGTTAATTAAAGCGAAAACCTAATACTGACTCCTGCTTCTCCCCCGCCGTCTGCCCTCCCACTCTCCATGTACACCAAGGCGTAACATGGGATCATTTCATTTAGGGACCAGAAAGCTGTCAGGCCTTGGTTGCTGGAAGCCTGCACTGGCCTGCAATGCTCTCCCAGGGCCTTGCTTGCTTGTTCTCACCTGCTGGGGAGAAACTAACGAGCTTAGGGAAGACAGAGGGCCTGCACCATAAAGCTGTAGGGCACAGGGCAATGGACTGGGGGGACAGAACCCTGGCTCATGGCCCAGCCTGGATGCTTGTTTGATGTGTGACTTTGAACAGGCCACTTGTCACTTTGTATTTCAGGTTCCTGACCTGTAAAGGCGGGGGTGGGGGTGGAATGACACCCACCTCCTGTCTGTTGTATTGGTTGTGCGTCAGATGCTTCTTTCTTTATCCCACCCACTTTACCTACGGGCATTCTCCAGGATTCCGGGTGTGCGCTCCATTCTCTCTGTGTCATTTCTCAAAGCTCTCATTCCTCCTCACAGCTTTAGATCTGGCACCTATGCAGGTAACCACAACATCTGTATCACCACTTTTGAATTCTCTCCCAAGTTCCAATATTACACAGAAAACATTAATTGGACACTTTCTGAAGAGAGGTGTCCTGTGTAATTTATTATCCAGGATTGTTTGCAACCTTTTTCCAATTATACACATTTTTCTTTTGGCTTTGGCAGACCTGGGTTTATGAGGCTGTTCTGGTCACTAATGGGCAGAAAAAATGGGCCCCAACTATTCCTTAAGGGATGTGTTTTGCTTTATCAAATTTACTCTTCTCCTATCTGAACTCACCCAGGCTGCACTTCAATCTTTATGTAAATACCACACATATGGCATGAACAGGTTATAGGCTTTGAGTTCCAACCTTATACTCATAACTTATACTTCTGTGACGTGGGTGAGCCATTCCTGTATACCAAGCTTGAACTGTGATGGTCACACTACTGTGTGTGGAAGAGCCTTGGCAGACTACCTGTTATATCACAGACATTTAATAAGTAATACAAGTCTTTCTATTCTTTTGGAATTTCTATAATGTCTTTAACTCTCAAATTATCTTTTATGTCTATCACACAAATTTTCCAAGTGCAGAACCCTGAAGTACATAAAAAGTTGACTTTGTAGTAATGTTTTTGGTATTGAGCCTTGTTTTCTTATGAAGTTCTATCATTAATTTGAAAATAATTTCTTTTAGAGACAAGAATAACTTATCTCAAATCTTTATGTAAGAATGCAACAGTCTTCACAAGCACAGAAGAACCCTGAATGTTTTATGATAAAATGCTAGTATTAGCATTCAAAAATTCATCATTCCCATAAAAGCAGATGGCAACTTATAAAATAAATAAGTCCTGGGGATGTCATGTACAGCATGGTGACTACAGTTAATCAAACCATATTGCACATCGTAAAGTTGCTAAGAAAGTATACCTTAAAAGTTCTCATCACAAGGAAAAAAATTTTTTACTATGGAAGGTGACTGATGCTAACTAGACTTACTGTGGTGATTATTTTGCAGGGTATACAAATACCAAATCATTACTTGGTACACCAGAAACTAATATAATGTTATATGTCAATTATACCTTAATAAAATATATATAGAAAGAGAGAGAAAGAAAGAGAGCAATTAAAAAGACCAGGTCTAAATTGTGGAAAACAGTGAGGTGTAGAAGGTTCCTTCTGATCAGATTTGGGTAATTTTCCTATCAATTTTAAGGTGGTTTAGCTCTGCTGGTTTTATAGCTAATCAAGGAGTAGTTTATTGATACCAACTTTTCCTTTAAGGCTTCCTTAAACCTGTCAGAGTAATAATGGCCTCTCTTCAGAGACTGCATTTATACTTTTGGCCACAAGATGCAATAAAGCAAGCAAACAAACAAAGCAAAAATTAAGGACCCCTGAGAAATGAGTTCAAGAAAATCAAAATGCAGAGTCAACTGGAATTAGTCTGTAAGGCTTGGAACAGTTGCTCAAGTGAAATTAAGTATTAATTCCTAATTCTCACCTGTCCTTCCTAGAGCCACTGCTGGGAACAAATGCCTGTCCAAGTGCTCTCTGTCTTTGTTACTATTGTCCCGTTGTGTTTTCAGAACTTTTCTTTGCAGAAGCTCAGTAATTCAGCATTGGCAGTAAAATGAGGGTGAACTTATTTCTTTCCAAACAGGCTCTACTCTCTATTGTGTATGCCATGTTATAGTAAAAATATAAGTCCTGAGATTTATATTTTATGTGAACCAATAAGAGATGCTGATATCATAATCTTTGAAATATCTCTATGGGAACTAGAGAAGATACAAATCAGTCCTTTTTAGAAAAACTATGAAAGGCCAGTTATATTTTTTATTCACAAGAAAAATAAACTTTATGAGGCCTCCTTCAGGATTGCCTTGTCACTAGGCTTGACTGGGGCACAGGGAGCCATAATTTTCCTGTGAGTAAGAACAGTACATGGTACACCCCCCCCCCCATACACACACACACACACACACACATTCCTAATTTAGTTATGATGGCTTAAAGGAAGAACTGATGGGACAAAGCAGATCCTCAGTTTGTGGTAGATATCTTGCTTCTCTAAGAGATGAAAGAACTTTGTACACTGGAATGTTCTAACTTTAGAAGTTCTATGCAACAGTGGGCACAAGAGCCATTCAGCATACTGCAAATAGACTGGAACCTCTACATCAAGGCAAGAAGATGGGTGTTCACAGATTCTGCAGAGTAGTGGCTAGCCAGACATTGTTAACTCTCTCTTTCTCTGCATTAATGAAAAAATGCACCTTTGGAAATTTGTACTAAAAACCTCCTGTTTCTCTTGGATATGGTTACCATTGCCAGTACTTTCTTATATTCTGGAAGATGTTTCAAGAGTGGCTGGATATTGCCCAAGTGGTTCAAGCGCCAGGAAAGTGACTGGGTTAGATGAACTTGAAGGTCTTGTTACCTAAGTCACTGTGATTCTAGGACTTCCTCTACTTTTTTCATACAGCTGTGATGAGAGCCTTCGTACTTCCACAAATGTCTTTCCTTTAGCACCACAGCAAGTGAGAAATGTGTGTGCATGTGTGCGAGCTGGTGTGTGTGTGTGTGTGTGTGTGTGAAAGTCATTGAGGGGAAAAACAACTAATTTTTACATTCATTAGAAAACATTTGACTAATAAACTAATTTCACTTGATATTAGAACATTCAAC